TTAATTCAGAAATAGACAACAGTTGTGAAGTGTTGCAGTAGGCAGTTTGTATTTTGAATTCGGAAATAGGCAAAACTTCATGAAGTGTTGCAGAATGCGAAACAATATAAAATTTGAAAACTGTTGTTGTAGGAGAAAGAAACAGTGCAACATTTGGTAAAAGTGTTGCCGTAGGCGAAACAATGCAATATTTGGTAAAAGTGTTGTTGTAAGCAAAACAACACAACATTTGGTAAAAGTGTTGTTGTAGGCGAAACAGTGCAACATTTGGTAAAAGTCTTATTGAAAGTGTGTTTCATCAAGGGTCGCAACCTTGTGAAACAATACTACTTTGTCCTATAAATTGAGCATTCTAGATTCAGAAAAATACAACACAAAAGCCTATCCTCATCACACAAAATCTCAAATTTCATCTTTCTTACATTCGAGTTTTCATCGTCTTACGAAAACTCGATTATAGGTTGAGTTATCATAGATATTCCCGGGTTCTAACTCTGAGACATTTGAGAGTTATCATAGTTATCATTCACGATTCTAGTCTTAATTCATTCGATTTAATTAATTTTTTTAACAGTTAATTTATAACTTGCAGTTGTTATTACAAGTTCTAGTTCTCATAATAACTAAAGTTCTCATTTGATAATCTCTCTCTCTCTCTCTCTCTCTCTCTCTCTCTCTCTCTCTCTCTATATATATATATATATATATATATATATATATATATATATATATATATATATATATATATATATATATATATATATATATATATATATATATATATATATATATATATATATATATATATATATATATATATATATATATATATATATATATATATATATATTATAATTCTTAATATAAGAGAAAATTTATTTTTTAAATTTAGTTAATAATGAATGTATCTCGATTAATTATAGAATAAATATATTACATACTCAATATTCAATGAATTTAAAAAAATAAAAAATATAAAAATTAAAATAATGTTCCACTTTAAATTAAATTAGTTTAGAAGAGGCTTATTCAAATTTAAATAGTAAAATTAATAGAGAATAATGATTATAAAGTTATTGAAAAAATGAAGGGAAAAAAGTAAGAAAGAGAAGAGATAAATGAAAATGATAATAATTGAAAAAGTAAAAAATAATGAAAAGATTGAAAAATATTAAAATTTTCCTGAAAAACAATTTAATTATTTGAATGAAATATAAAAATATAATTATGATGCAATTAATTTTTTAAAATAGTTGTATTTTCTTAAAAATATGAGTAATTGAATCGAAACAAATCAAAACTAAAACTATATGTAAGCAATAAATGAAATATCGAATAGTATTAAAATATCTTTAAATATGTTTTATACAAAAATTATCTTAGTCATTTTCTGCTCTCTTGAATCAAATCTTTCATTTTCACATAGAGAAACATACATATTCATATTTTTATTAGTATGTTGGGGTGATTTTTTTTTAAAAATAAAAATGAACATATGAGATTAACTGATATGTTTTGTCACTGCATCACGATTATTTATAAATGATTCATAAATGATATTTTAAATATTATTAAAAAAATTAAACATATATAAAATTTAATAGAAATGATTAATTCTGATCTTTCAATATTAGTACTTATCAATTAAATTTTTAATTTATATATGTTAAGAATATACATGTTTTTTTTCACGTAAATTAATTGTAACAATCAAAATTTAAACAATATCTAACTTTTAATTCAACCACATAAAAATAATTCTCATAAAAAACTCTTCCTCTCAAGAATTATAACTACTTATGTAATCTTTAAATTGATGGATATAACAAAATATAATTTGATGAAATGAAGTAGAACAAAGTGAATGAATGTGGAACGAAGTAGAATGAGTCAAATATTTTACTTCATTATTTGAATATTTTTGTTAATTTGATGAAGTGAAAATTAAAGGATTAAATGAAATATGGTATTAATAAATCTCATCATTTTTATTTCGTTTCATAAAATATTAAGTTTAAAGATAATATACTATCAGTGTAAAAAAATATTATATATATATTTAATTAAATTATTTTAAAGTGTCAAATCATATAATATTTTAAAAATAAAAATATAATGTGACGAGATACACGTCATTAGTTGACAGTATAAAAATATTTTACAATGTAAGTGTGTATTCTTTTTTCTCTAAAATATTTATAAAACTAAATAATAAAATCAAACTACATATCACTCTTCTCCATTATATTCCGTCAAATACCAAAAGTTTAATAAAAAAATATCCAAAAAATAAGACATAATGATAATAGTATACGACTGATTTACAAACATAAAACTTTAATGGTTTTAAATAATTATTAATTAAATTTAATATATATTTCATATGTTTCAAATATAGTTGATTAGTCTTTTCATAATATTATATTTTGCATAAAATTTAAAACTTTACATAAAGTTTTAAATATCAATTTTTCAAATAAATATTTGGTATTATTATTTTATTTATCAATAATAAGAAGAAATTAAACTAAAGCATTTTTTATTTGCAAAATATATATATATATATATATATATATATTACTAAAAAACAATTTTTATTTTTAGCCGATACGGTTAAGTTGATAGTGAAAGATACACTTTGCCACGAGAAAAATTCAACATAACGACGTCGTATAACCCCGTCGAATCAAGTGGAGTGAGAGTTTGACAGCGTTAAGACAGAGAGAAGACTATAGTCTACAGCGCCGCGCGTAAGAAAGCAACCACAAAGAAATCCACTTAATCTCCTCCACGTGTCCTTTCTCAGCGACTCGAATTACACAATCTCGATAAAAACCGGGTTTCACAAAAAAATCATAAAAAAGAAATAAATAAACAGTAGAATATCTTTTTGACCGAATTAATTAAAAAAACTAAAATTAAAACCATTAAAATCACATTTTATTTGTTTCCAATTTTTTCCATCGAATAAAAACACCGCGTCTTGCATCGCTCCGTTTCGTGTCGCCTCTTGGCGGTTTTAACCTTTATTTTTCTTTTCGGTTTCGAACATTCACTCTCTCACTCCTCTCTCGCTCTCTCTCTATCTCTTCAATTCACCACTGTGAGAGATTCCATTTCAAAAACCTAGTTCTTCGTCTTCTCTCTCGTTTCCGCTCTAAGGTTAGATCTCGATCTTCACTCTGCTCTTATTTTTTATCCTTTCGTGTTTTATCTTCTCAGTTCACGGATCGATTCGTTCGAGGTTTTTTTTTTTTGCATTTCGATTTTGTTCTTCGTTTCTACTATCTCAATAACTTTGCATGCAGTTTTTCAGTTTGTTCATCGATTGATTCGTTACCGCAGCAACAGTAGTGCTTTTCACTGTTTTCATGTCAATCGGAGATATACATTTTCCCGAGAAACATGTAGCTGGCGATGATGTTTATTGATATGTTCTTCGCATAATGCTGTCAATTGAAAGCTTCCTTTAGCATTGTTTTAAAAAAACATATGGAATAACGTTTTTTTATTGCGGTGCTTAGTTTTAATCTGGATTATGTTTGTAGTTATTGATGTGATTTAATATTAGCAGAGATGATTGTTATTTCAGTAGGTCTTAGTGTGACTGAGTGTGTTGTTTGAAGCAAAAACAATTTAATTGTATTTTGATCTTGGATTTTGTAAGGGGACTGCTTTTTGGTAAATGTAGTATCGAGAATTAAAAACTGTTCGATCGATTTAGTCATTCTGTCGAACAGCTGGATAAATTCTGATGAATCTGGATCATGAGACATGGATTTATCAAAGGATTAAGCGGATTTCTGGAAACATATTTTGCCTGATTGTGGCCTAAGTAATGTGCCAGAACAGCATTACTAACTACATTTGATGACAGAGACTAAATTGATTGATGATGGTCTTCAATTTCAGGGATTAATTTTGCATTTCATAAATTTAACGAACTGCATTGTCTAACCCTTAGGGTTTTGTGAAATAGTTATTGAGCATCTAATGGATTATCTATGAGTTTTGTGTATGTAGTATTTCTATGTGGTCTCTGTATGCTGGGGGTAAAATGTTGTTAGAATCCATTGATTTTGTGTGAAAAGAAGAACACTGACAAATAGCTAGTAGGTAATCTGAGATATGAAAATTTGGGTAATCAAGTCAGAGGGCTTTTCTGTGGTATGCACTCTTGATTTGAGGAGATTAGTTTACAGTATTGCTTATGGACTAGATTTACTGCACAGATACTGATCTGAGATTTCATAATAGATCTTTTTTTTTTATTATCTCTCTTCTGATGATTAGAGTTAGTGATGTCCTGCTCTGGTAATAAAGACTGGAAGTGATAGAGGACAGGGGCCGTCCCTGCAAGATGTATTGATGCTCAGATAAGCACGCAGGCTTAAGGTAAAGTGGATGGATCCTTAGATGCCACAACTAGGATCCATAGATTTGTTTGCGTAGATGGAATGGTAGCATGAGTAGGTCCTCCCAATCTAATACGGCAGAAATGTAGTTACAGAGGTGGGTCCTTTGTATAGAAAAAGCTTATATTGGGCTATTGGGAAATGCTGTTTGATCCCATGTAATCAAGTTTAGCCATGCAGGGCCATAGCAAACACTACAATATAAAATTTTTATGCACCCGTTTTTTTCTCGGGATATGCAGATTAGCTAGTCTGAAGCTACATGCTTCCGAATACTCTTATACCAAGGGAGAAAATAATTCTTCATTTTTTGCATTTCATTTAAGTTTACCAAACAGTTTTACCGCGACTGCTTATTGTTTCCAAGTTTCCGCCCTACAGTTTGTATACACATGTAATGTATATTATCTTTTAGACATGAGTGTTATTTTGTATTTTTAGTTGTGCACACATACATGTTGATGTTATAGCATGCTTCTGTTCCTGTCTTCATAAACAATTATTTTATGTGGGGGTACAAACAGGAGAAAAAAGAGTGAACTAATGCATGTTGAAATTGTAGGATAATATTCAAGAGAGTATGCGATGGATCGGGAAGAATATCTGCGGAAGTGTTCCAATATGAAATGCCAAAGAGTAAGGATTTCAGTTTTTATTTTCACACCTTTAAGCTAATTGATCATATAACCAATGTTGTTAAATAACAGAATTTGAACGAATTGCTATTGTTCCTCAATACACTATTTAGTACAAAATGGTGTCAAATAGTGGCTATAGAAGTGCTATAGCTCTGTTTTGTCATGAACTTCAACAAACTACTATTTTCTGTGACTCACAAATGACAGTAGTGCATATGACCTATCATATTTATTCCCATTTCCCCATATTTTGCCACATTTAAGGAAGTATCTAAGTTGTTCATGTATGATTATCTATATTATAAGTTGTAACTGTATCTAATTTTGCAAGTTATATATTAATTTGGGATTAAACGGGACTATGATTGCAGCTATTTTAGTTCTTTTCATGGATGGGAATAAGTCATCACCGTGATTTACGTGTTCTGATGACTATGCCAATTTTCACATGTTTGGGCATGCAATAGAAATTTTATGATTGTACACAACATTAATATGATCATTTTCCATACTTTGAGAACTTCATTCAATTTGTTAGAGTTTATTGTTGGAAAATGTGTCAAATCGAAGATTGTTGAATTACACACTGTTGTTGAATATATGATGTGAAAAATAAGTGTTTTTAATTTAGTGTTTTGTCTTATTTCAATATACTAGATCCTCACAAACTTCATATTTTAAACAAGTGTTTTAAAGCTGTTTATGTGTGGGCACGTGTATATTTATGTCATTTATTCTCATTGACTTCTTTTGCTATTTAAATAAACTGTAAGTTTCAATAGGGTAATGCTTAAAGCATATTATTTATGATATCTTTTTAATTTTCCTAGATTCAGGTGGATGAATACACGCCTTCCCTTCAAGACGATGAACTGGAAATTGAGCATTTGTTTGAAGAACCTAGAAGTGATCATGTTTCATTGGATGGTATGTTGTATTTTATCGAGAATAAGTATTTATCATTCTGAATTTTCAAATGACTAAAAGTTTTTCTTTATGATTCTGTCACTTGAAGTCCATTTATTAGTAAATGGAGTTTTAGTTTGACTATTTGTGTTAATCTTTTTTATTTGGTCTGTATCTTGTTGCTGAACAATGTGATAAGTGAAGTAAAATAATAAGGTGAAAAATGGAAGAAACAAGCTTTATGAGAGCCTGAGTATTGTTGATGGAGATTGCTTAGGAGTTCAGAACTATTGTTGCATCTTCGAAGAATCAAATAGTCTCTTTACATTTAAAATATTATTTTGGTTGATAACTTCTTATAGTTGATAAAGCTGTGTTGGCATTTTCATATATAATATTTTCTCTGAAGCTTTGGTAGTAATTTTCCTATTTGCTTTTGATGTTATATCTCACCCTTGTGTGCTTACCTTCACCAGGCAGTTTAGCTTCTGATACAGCTTTGAATGACAAGAATGATTTGGAAATGGAGGTACTTGTCTAAACTCGGTTACTGTTGGGGTGATATTGAAGCTAGTAGTTCATGTACCTTTCAATTTGATCTGCATATATTAATTACTTGTTGCTTGAGTCTATCCTTGTGCCTAATCTAATGTCAATTGCATGACATTTCCTTGTTTCTGTTTAAACTGTTGTCCTTTTTGTGTGAGTGTGAATATCTTTGATAAAATATACTGTTAGGTCCTTGACGGATTCCTGGACGAGGGATTCCTGGATGATGTTGACATCAATGATCTTGAAGGAACTGATGGTTTCACCGATGTATGTGGAGGGTATTTCTTAGGTAAGATTATAAACTATCACGGTACTATCTTTTCTATGATGCTTTCATAGGAAAAAAGTATTAGCTTCTGCTTCCTCATTTTAGTTGCTCCTTTCTGTTTTTCACATTATAATTTTGTTTTTTCCAATCTTCAGATTTTGATTTTGCCAAAGTTGAGTTACTAGGCTCTGGTGCTTATGAAGACTCACTTTTGGAAAACTCAAATTTGGAAAGTCAATCTCCAGGATTAAGTGGAAGTAGCACTGTTAGTGGGATATCGGAATCAGCAAAAGCGCCAAATAGTACACAATCTGAATGCAAAATTGAATCTCTAGATGAGACAGTCACCAATGATACACATGGTGTCTTCAGAAACAATCCAAGTCAACCATCAAATGTAGGTTGCATGTACAACATTTCACTTGATATACAGCATCTGCATGAGCTGAATAATGGTTATCCTTTAGGTGGCAGTATATTGTCTTGTAAGACAGAAAATGTTACTGTTGAAAATTGCCAATCTGCTCCACCTAGAGTGAAGAGATTCCGAAAGCCTACTCGGAGGTATATTGAAGAATCTTCAAATTTGAGGTCAAAAGAAAAAGTACCTACTACAGGTGCAAAATACAAACGGCGGAGTCTGTCATCATGTAATGAACTTACAAAAGTTAAAGGATTGAAGAATATTCTAAGCGAAAAGTCTAGTAATAGTGATAGTAATAGTGATGTAACGCCTACCGAGTTGCAACAATGTAAGAAGCTGCCAAAGAAAGAGGTATGTTTTTCTTTTTGGGGCATTTATTTTCTCGAGTAAATGAAGATTTTTTCTGAATAGCCTCCTCTCCTTTGAAGTCACAGGGAAGGATAGAGACAAATATTCTTTAGTTGCATCTGTATAATTATGTATTTTTTAGTTTTATGTTTTCTATCTCCTGGTGTTGGATACTTTTGTGTGATAACCATATTTGATGGTCATTGCGAATTATATTTAAATTTTATTTGTCAAGTTGTATTCCTGGTAAATCTAGTCTACCGACTCCTTCCTCTCTTTGCTCGAATTGGTGCTTGGCTTCCCTGTACATGTTTTGCAGTTGCAGTGGAATATTAATTATCTTAACTGTGGTAGTAGATTCTTGTATCATTATAGCATGGTATTTAAGTATAGATTCTGCAGGTCTGAATGTCTAGAATTGATTTTGTGATTGGACAAATTGGAACGGAATGGTTTCATGGTAACAGCATGTATGTTTTTCATACATGATTAAGTTGTTCTTATGTTGTGAAATGTATGTTTAGAGATGATAACCACATATTAATACAATTGCCTAAAATATTTGTGTCTAAGTCTGCTTGTCTAAATTATTCTGCATTGTTCGATAAACCAATTGTTTTTTGTAGGAAATTGAGTATGACAATGAACCTTTTTCCTCGGAGGAGTTTGATGATGAGTTTGAGGAAGAGTTTGAGGATGAACGTTCGGCACCAAAAAGAAGTAGATCAAAAGATCGAAGAAAGCATCAAAGGATGTGGACAACTGCTGAAGTGACGAAGTTGGTTGATGGCATATCTGAATATGGAGTTGGTCGATGGACTGATATACAGAGGTTTTTGTTTTCGGCTTCAGGTTACCGAACTCCCACAGATATCAGGGTACTTTGCTGAAATTCACAGATTTAGTTGTAACCTTTCTTCCAAATGTGTTTCCTAAATATGATTTTTGCAGGATAAGTGGCGTAACCTTCTTCGAGCCAGTTCTGCACAGAAATTCATCCAGAAAGAGGTTAACTTTCTATTTTCCTTTTCTGAAACTTTATTCAATTAACTGATCTTGACAAAGCAATTTCGCAGATCTATATTTCTGATGTAAATTATTTTGAGGATAAGTTAATGTAAACAATCATTTGGTGATTGTAGGGTGAGGAAAATGACAAGATTACCCCGCGGTCCTTACCTGTCAGTGTGGCAAGCCGGGTGCTGGAATTGGCTAAAATTCACCCTTACCCAAAGCGACGAAACTCAAAGAGATCGTCTGATAGCCAAGTCGGATCTTCTGTCACTGCCAGTCAAAGCAGTGGTTCTTCTATTAGTCTTGGCAGAAGAAATGTTCGTAGGAAGAAGTGTAGTACTTAGAAGCAAAACTTCATGTGTAAAACTATCCAGTGAATCATAGTCAAAAGAATCTTGCTGAATTTTCGGTAACATTTGCACAATTTTGTACTTTAAAGTAATTTCTGCTTGTATATCTACAGAGGCATAGAAATTTTAAATTGTAAACTCAAGGAATCGTTGGTTAACTACTTACAAAAGTTTGCAATTTTTAATGCCAAACCCCTTTAGTATCATGTTAAGGTTTGTAGAGGTTTATCATATTGTTTCTGACTGCTTGGTATTGTTGGACGAAATACTTTTCTTTCTTAATTAAAACACCTTTAAACTCAACTATTTTTTGTTAGAATCTAAATTTTTTTAACACTTTTGAATAGAAAAATACTTTTAGGAATTGAATACTTTTTTAAACTCTTCCGTCTTAAATCAAATTTTCAAAATATATAAATATCGCATTCTAGGCTCCGATTCGGTTTAATATATTATGAAGTTCTCATTTTCCAACTTTGTAATTTTTTGAAAATAGTAAAATTTTTAAAATCTCAATTTATAAACTTTTGAAATTATCATTTTTAACCAATATTTTGGGAACTCTTTGATGAGGATTCACATTTGTTATGCAATAACAGAGAGTCATAATGAGTTTTTGGAGACTCTGTGTAGATTAGTTGTGATTTAATTTCATAAAGACAAATAAATGCCTCATTTAATCACGACTTAATCTAACAAATATTTTGAGGCCCTATTCAATTAAAATTTAATAGATTAGTTGTGATTTAATTTCATAAAGACAAATAAAGGCCTCATTTAATCACGACTTAATCTAACAAATATTTTGAGGCCCTATTCAATTATAATTTAAGCTTGAAAATTTTGAGGCCCTATTCAATTATAATTTAAGCTTAAAATTTTGTGGTAGTTCGTTTTGCACACTCTCAAAAACGGTCTAGCAGAAAGAAGAATCAGAATAGGAGAAAAGAATTATTCATCTTTGATAAAATTGTGGAACGTCCAAACACCTCAATCATCTATTATGCCATAGCAGGAAGAAGAGTCAGAATAGGAAGAAAGACCACAGCAGGAAGAAGAGTTAAAATAGGAGAAAATAATTTCTCATCTTAAGAAAAGTCAAAATAGGAGGAAAAAATTTCTCATCTCAAGAAAAACTCAAAATAGGAAGAAATAATTTCTCATCTCAGGAAAAGTCAAAATAGGAGGAAAGAATTTCTCATCTCAGAAAAATCTGTGGAAGGTCCAAACACCTTAATAACTATGAAGTTCTAAAGGAGGAAAAATGGTAGAATCTACTAAATATTCTAGAATGTATTTGTTATTGCATAACTTTGAGTCATGTTATTGACATTTGTAGCAAGTCAACAAAAGTTAGTTAGAGAACTCTTAGAATGTAATGAAATGAAAGTACTATAAGTACTAGTTGCTGATGTAATAAAAGAAAAACATGAATGAAAGGAATTAGTAGATTTATTCTAGATTTGTTATCATTGTAGAATTGTAGAATATGCAATATCTTTAACAGTATCCATAACAAATTGGTGCTCTCATTGAATTGATCATGACTCACCCTCCACCTCCACCACCCACCACCGTTGAACTTTCCGCCACACTCGGTCAACTCCATAACCAACAATCATTTCAAGCTAGCGTTTCGCCAACGTCAACGCATTAACATTGGAGTTTCAGGATCTGTGCGCTCGCATTCGAGTTGGGATCCACTCCATTTCTTTGTCCCTCCATTTTCTCCATTACTATAGTTTTGTATGTAAATAACACACATTTCTAAGACATGTGACATATAATTAATATTTAGTTAATTTTATATATAACAAAACTATAGTAATGGAGAAAATGGAGGGACAAAGAAATGGAGAGGATCCTGACCCCTCGCATTCCACCACCAGGGTTTGCGTCACCTATGCCATCGACTGGATCTGAGATTCATTCTTCTCCCACTACCACCATGAAACTTGATATATTGTGCTTTAATGGCACTTATCCCTTAAGTTGGATCTCTAAGATCAACCAATATTTCGTCTATCACATGACGGCGGAGAACCAAAGGCTTCGCATCGTGTCTTTCTACATGGAGGGCAACGCTTTGACATGGTTTTAATGGATATACTCCAACAACATGCTTCTATCGTGGTGAACTTTCTTACAATCACTGGAGTCCCGATTCGCTCCGTCGCTCTACGAAGATCCCAAGGGTGCTCTGCTCAAACTTTTCCAAACTTCATCCGTGAAAGAATACCAAGTTCAGTTTGAATCACTTGCAAATCGCATCGTAGGGCTACCACCTCCTTTTTACCTCAGTTGCTTCATCTCTAGACTAAAATCGACCATCCGTCAAGAGGTACATGTGTTTCAACCCCTTTCATTGACTTAGGCGATACACTTGGCAAAAATGTAGGAAGAGAAATACCTGGATCGTACCCCATTTTCGGCGAAACTGTTCCAACCCACCACATCCACAACCGGAAGTTCCTCCTCATCATTTAAACCTTCCATCACCGTTAAACCACCTAAACCACCAACACATGTCAAATAGCTTTCCCCTGACGAATTACAAACCCGACCCTATCAAAGCAAACCTCCACCAATTGCAACGTCTGGTGGACACTCACACTATCGACACATGCGTACAATTTTAATTTCTCAACAATAAAGAACACCTCATTTCACCTCTCGTCCTTGATGAACGAATTTCTCAAATTCTAACAAAATACTCCCAACTATTTCAATCTCCATCATCACTACCACCTCAAAAATCGACTGATCATAAAATTACCCTCACCAACAACTCCAATCCGGTGAACGTACAAACCTACCGCTACCCACATTTTCAAAAGCAAGAAATTGAAAATCAAATTTGCGTAATGCTCAATCAAGGTCTCATTCAAGCAAGCACCATTGCTTTTTCATCCCCAATTCTCCTTGTTTGTAAGAAAGATGGTAGTTGAAAATTTTGTGTCGATTACAGACCGTTAAGTGCCATCAGTGTCAAAGATAAAATTTCAATTATAGCCATTGATGAACTTCTAGAAGAACTCTATGGCACTAATTGGTTCTCGAAGATGGACTTTTGCTCGGAGTATCATCATATACGCACGACTCCTAATGAGATTCACAAAATGACATATCACACACACTTAGGGCACTACGAATTCTTGGTCATGCCTAACATTTCATGCCAATATGAACCTTATCTTTGAATTGTATTTGTGCCGTTTTATTATAGTTTTTTTATGACATCCTGGTCTATAGTCCCACTTTGGACACACATTTACAACACCTTGAGGTTGTGTTTCAGTGCTTAATGGAACACCAGTTCTACTTGAAAAATTCCAAATGTGCCTTTGCCAAAAACTCCATCAAATACTTGAGCCATATTGTATCTCGAGAAAGTGTGGGGCCTGGCCCAAGTAAAATCAGCACTATGTTGAACTGGCCCGGTCCTCTCAACACCAAACAATTGAGAGGTTTCCTTGGGTTGACAGGATTCTACCGTAAGTTCTTCAAAGGCTATGTTGCAATCGTAGCACCACTCACCAATTTGCTCAAGGAATATGTCTTTGAGTGAACCACTCAAGTAAATTATGCTTTTGAAGCCTTATAACAAGCAATGTCTGCAACACCTATGCTAGCTATTCCAAATTTCCAAGAGAAGTTCATACTAGAAACTGATGCATCTGGTTTGGGAATGGGAGCTATATTGATTCAAAATAACCACCCTATTTTTATTGCAGCAAACAGTTTTGTCTAAGGATGTTGAAAGTGTTAACTTATGTGCGGGAATTATGCACCATTACTTCTGCTGTCAAGAAACAACTGATTTATTTATTGGGGGAAACCTTTACCACTGATCAATGAAGTCTAAGGGAGCTCATGACACAGGTTATTCAAACACCAGAATAACAATATTACTTGGCCAAGCTTCTGGGGTATTTCTACGAGATAATCTACAAACCCGATGCCAGAAGTAAAGTTGCAGACGCTCTCTCACGTATCCATTGCCTTACTCTATCCGTTCCTCAATTGGAGTTCATTACAAAACTAAAGGCACAACTAGAACACGATGAATCATTCCAACGATTGTTACACAACATCACAACTGATCCGGAGAATCACAAAGAGTATCAACATTCATATGGCCTGGCGTTCTACAAGGGAATACTCTATAACCCAAGACTCTCTCTTCAAACAATTACTGTTGGAAGAATTTCATGTTTCACCCATGGGAAGACATAGTGGATTCATCGTATGTTCGAGAGGATACAAGAAAACCTCTTTTGGGAAGGAATGAGGAACAATGTTATTACTTTCATTCGCAATTGTGTAATCTGTCAGCATATGAATCCACTAATCATGCTCTGTATAGTCTCTTGCAACCCTTGCCAATACCCGATAAGATATGGGAAGACATTTCGTTAGACTTCATCACAGACCTCTGTTTGTTGGAAAATTTCGACTGAGAAAAGTTGACATAAAAGCTAACATGTGGGTCGACAGGTTAGGAAGATGGTGAAGGAAACGATGTAAGTCAACGCCAACAGAAGGGGTGTTGTGAGTCAACTCAAGGCTATTCCGTCGAAGATGTCGACTGATGGCCAAGAAAACTGACATGAAGTATGAGAACCTTTGAGCAGGAGGAAATTTGAAAGCTGAGAACATGGGGAAGTTACAAAGATGGTGGAGGGACACGTATCACCATAAAGACCAACATGAAGAAAACAACAATTATTTTCTTTTCCTATTTAAAGCAATGTCCATTTTCATTTTAGAGGCGTATTTTGTAACATTGTGAAGGAAATACATTCTGAGTACCAAGCGTTAAGAGAAAAAAGTTCACTCCTGCAAAATGTATGATAGAGTCCACATTTCCTTTTAAAAGCATTTTACATTACCAAACTTTAAGATATCTTGCCTTCTTACTTGTTTAATTTGTTTGCTTGTTTCTTCAATTGGTATCATTCTACCAACATCGCATAGACTCGACCAGACCATTC